TGCAAATGTAAACGCTCAGGACAACTATCGTGCAACACCGCTACATCGAGCTGCTTCACAGGGTCATGAAAAGGTTGCTTGTTCTGGCTTTCTTTTTTTTGTTTTTCTCGGTTTTTGAAGCTTTTAGGGTATTTTGTTTTTTGATTCTCTTTTTCAGATTGTTCCAATTTTACTGAAAGCGCCAAGTCTGAGGATTAACCTTCCAGATTCGCTGGGTTGCACGGCGCTGTAAGTTTCCCGTACTGTTGCAAAACCCCCTAATCCCTTTGGTTTTTGGCAAATCCGTATAAGTTCCTTGAATTAGTATGTTTATCTTTGTATGTTTTCGAATGCAAATAAACCAAGCACATGCACTCTCCCCTGTTATAGACATCTGGCGGTGGATGAACATCGTGAAGATATTGCTATAACGCTAGCAGAACATGGCGCAGATTTAAATTTTGAAAACAAAGTAAGTAAATTTGTTTTTTTTTGAGAATTTTTTCGAAAAGTCTTATCAGCTTGCACGAGAATATCTATCCGACGGTATATATCTAACAGTGAAGAAATCATAACACTGGGATTCTAACACTGGTGACAATACATTCTCCTATTCGGAGAATAGGAGAATGTATTGTCACCAGTGTTAGAATCCCAGTGTTTCTACCGTTGTTGTATCACACTGAGATGAATAAACGAGTTTGGTGTGCACCACCAAGATCGCTTGAAATTCGAAACTGTTTTCCTTTTCACCACTCTTGCCGAATCAACCAATTTTATTGTGGCACTGGACAATCATCAAGCATGCATAGGCGGAACACGAGTAGTGAAATGGAAAAATTCTTGTAAAAATTTGTAAGGAATTTTATGGATGCTCGTGTCACATAATGATTTATGGCTTTTTGTTAGGAAATACATAATGAGCAACTGCATCACTGTGATGCAACACTTCTGGTTCCCGGTTCAACCTTTGGACACTCTACCCCGTTAAAGTTTTGCAGTTTTAGTGATCTGTGACCACTGGGGCCTTCACGGATTACTTAGAGGAACGAGCTGAAGACAATTTTTCACGCATACGCTGATCAATTCTCAGCGAATTTCCTGCGGATCTCCTGGACAGCACATATTTTGAGCTTTTTTCAATATCTGCTGACAGAATTTTGTTTTGTTTTAGGAAAAGCAAACACCTTTGGCTTTGGTGAAAAGCAGTGAATTACGAACCAAACTGAAAGCTGCCGCTGAGCGATACTCATCCAAAATGCTCTAGAATTCTCGTTTTCGTTTTACCCTTGTTTTATTTATGCGCAGTTTGCGTTGTTTTGACTTTCTTCAAGCATTTTAACAGGGCACCAGAGAGATATCCGAGACTCTTTATGCAGGAAAGAAAACAAAGGGTTTGGGTCTTGTTACAAGTGATATTGCCTGGATTTTAGCTTAAAGTACTGGTGCTGTTTTTTGAGCGGCTAATAGTGTACAGATTTAAATTCATATTTTTGCTAACTCTTATGACCAGGCCTGGACTTAAGCTTCTGGTGCTTCTGCTGCCTAGCTTAGGCCTGACTTCTGGTGCTTCTGTTGGCTCACTTAATCCTAAACCCGT